AGTCCTTAGAGGGCGGACTGTCGTCGCCGGCGACGAATCGGGCGATACTTCCGGCGATGAGGAAGAATATGCCAAACATAATGAGACAAACGGATGCCTGACATGAGATGATGGCCGGCACCAGACCTGGAGGTGCCGTCCGATACGAGCGCCGGAAATAACGGCCATTCGGTGGCCGACTGTTCCACATGTCAGACATCTGGCCATCAAATGCACGATTCGGGCGTTGAATTGAAATCAATTGAAAAGTTTTTATTACTTTTTATATTATTAATGATTAATATATTAATTATAATCAAAATAATGCTTACATTTAGTTAAAAGTGATTAACAATTGGTTTGAGAAATAAAATTGTTTTCAATTTCTTGTTATTTTGTTAACATTTTTAGAAAAACTTAATAAACAATACATTAATATCGTTGTTATAAATGTTGTTTTTTGTGACAATTTTTATACATTTAATCTACTATTTGTTTAATTAAATGCTTGTAATATTTAGTTTAATTATATTAAAATTATTTTTAACAATTAAAATTAATAATAAATTGTAAAAACTATTTTGAAATTCCCGAAATTAGTGTAATATTTATTATTTTATACAAAACATTAGTCACGTTATTGCTTTTCAGTATGTATTATATATGGTCGGTACATAATATACTACACTGTATTATCAAAGCGTTGTAGGGGAGTTACAATGTACAGCATGTATGCATTAGTCAGACAAGTATTACATGCTGTACATGTATTACATTGATCGTTGCAATTGCAAAATTGCCAGTAAATGACTGTACCTGACATTCAAATTATAGTAATTTGTACATGATCAATTCAACATATGTTACGGATGTACACTAGCTGGTACTATTCATTATAGAATAACCATGATAATGACATTACATAAATAGACCTTGAAACTTTATTATATATTAAATCTAATGGGAATTTTATTATTAACTGAATTCTATACAAAAAACCCATTCATCAGAATTGACAGCAAATTCTGGTTCAATATTTCATAATTTAGGGATTATTTGACAGAATTTTTGTTATATGTTATTAATTATGATTTATAAATAGTATTGCTATTAGTTTAGTGAATAAAATACAAACATTAATCTAAATAATATATAATTGAATGACTTATATATGAAAATATAAATAGTTGTCTCATTAAAAGAGATAGATTTTTTGTAGTGTTTTATACGCGGGATATAATCGGTAATCAGTTTTGTCGGCGTCCGTCCCGTAATAATAAGAGTCGTATTTCTTGCCATTCCTCGCCTGACTCAAGAAGTCTTCGCCATTCCTCGAGTACATCATATCTCCGGTCTTAAGAGACCACTGTTTGTCTGATGACGAGAAGTGGTTATATACGACAACTCGGGGAGAGTTGAACGCTGTCTCGTAATGAAAGGGCAGATCAATGGACTGGCCTTTAAAGCCGGCGTCAAAGTAGTTGTTTTGCATCAATTCATACGCCACTCGACATACCTATGGGTTTGGGCACAGAATAACATTTCATTAGTTTTCAATTAGTTCTGAAAGTCTTGTGCTTTCAATGACTGACACCCGAACTCATTGTACAGACGATATAATCTGTTTGTGAGACTAAATAGATGTCAATTATAAGCTGAAGAAATGAATTGGCGTTATATCTGGTCTTCAATTTTGATGTATAAACTGCTGCTCTTTGGTTACCAATGAATCTATAGTTGGGGTAATTGTCGACACATTCTCTCCACACCAGCGGGTCGTCAGTCGCCAAATAGACCTTCCGTTCAATCGTGTCGTTCAATAAACCGATGCCATCGTAAAAGTCTTTGATGTGAACCATATATTCGCTTACGTTATGAAAACTGCTCTCAACGCCAATCTTGTCGGTCCGCCTCACGTGAAGGCTATTCAATGAACTCATTATTAATACTTTTTATTCAATTTAAAGTTTAGTAAAAGTAGAGACCGACCCAACTATGGGGTGACTGAAACCGAGTGACGATTTTTTGTCATTTAATATTTTTTGGACATTTGGCTGAAGTCTCATAATATAGTGTGTGAACTGACCCAACCACCAGACCAATGGGTTGGAATGCATGGCCACTATTCTCTTGCCAATAGATTTTGGTAAATAATGGATTAGACGTCGAGTGACCGGATCTTTCAACATAATATAAAATGTCATTATTTTATTTAAAGTCGATAAAAAGCACTAACCATTCCTTCCCGGCCATCGACTCACATACGAGACGTTTTCAAACATACTTTCATCGCAAGTATCGCTAAGAGGTTGGAAAAAATGCGTCCACTTTTGCGAGCCTTCATTCAAATAATGGTATCGTTTAGAGAGCAAAACGACTGTACGGTTGGAGTAATAGCCGGCGATTAGACACCAAACTATATCACTTAAACCCGACGAAAAGCCATAACTGTTTGTCAGATTACAGAGTATTGTTTGCCGTGAAATGCATTGTTTAACCGACGGATTCTGGAGTTCATGAATCCTATTTTGAACCAATTCTGACAACTCTTTGGACTCTCTTTGACGCCAATCCTCGACACCAATTGAATCGCCCAAAACCGATGCCTCCATTTGTATAACACTTTAATTGCAATTATAATTATTATATATTTATTTAATATATTAATTAATTGAAACAAAAGTCACGTATAAATTGTGCTCAAATAATATAAACGATGTGTCTTTGAAACTATTTAAAGCGGTTCTTCAAAACCATTTATTACCGTAAATATTGCGAAAGAATGCAAACACTCTTTGATTCAAAGTTTTTAAGACATGATTTATTGAACTATATTTTTAAAGCTTACGATTTATAGGAAAACTTTGAAATTAAAAATGTATAATAAATTTTATGACAACAGAAATAATTACTAGTCGTATATAAATACACGTATATTGTAATGGAAAGGATTCTCAAATATATTTAAATAGCATTCAATTACACCCCATAGAGAGTGTCTCGTATATATTGCGGGCCCACAACACACTTCCCATTCATTACTATAACACAGTATAACCCAAATTGAAATGAATTTTCTTTAACACTACGGGTTTTGCACTCAAAAAGTACCGAAATTTATTGAAAGTGTTTTTTACACAAGAATTTTAATTTAAAGATTTATTTAAAACTTTATCTTTTTAAAAAGAGGAGAAGAAATGAAACAATAATTACTTTTTTATATCACTTATCTCTTTAAGCATTCTTTCTGTCGATTCTTTGCTTAAATTTATGTTTTGCGAGAAAACGACGAAATAATTCCAGAATTCTTGTGAAATAAAGTGAATTCTCTTTAAAAAGTTGTTAATTTCGGTCACAAATGATTCGTTTTGTCTCTTTTCTGCAAACAATTTAAATATTAGTTTTCCATTTAATAATAATAACTGTATTTTTAAACACCTTTTATATAAATAACTTTTTGAGAATAATTACAATTAGTTTTATAAATATCTTTCGTATGATTTGAGACATCTTTTATTATAATTAGAGTTAAAAATAAGATTATCTGAAAAAATATTAATAAATATAATGTCCAAAGGGTTTCGTTTTTACGAAATGCACTCAATTTTGACATTTTTAACACTATTTTACCAAACGATTAATCATATATCATTTTTAATAAATATACAGTTATTTTTACTTTAAGTTAACAACATTTTTATTTTTTATAAATGCATTCATAAAAGTTAAAAAAAGTTTAAATATTGGCTTAAATATTGTAATTGAAAACTTTGTGAGACATTATATATACCGTAAATTTGTTAAATCCGGATATGTTTTGAATCATTGAATCATTTTATGTTTTATTTTATTTGTTTGAAAAATTTTAATAAAAAATCATTTCAACTGTTCTTTTGGTCCGAACAGGAAATCACAATAAATTTATAGACATGTTATGAAATTGATAGCATTTTATATAAATATTTTTTATGGATTACAAATAAATGTTATGCACATCATTGTCAAGTGATGATCATTGTGTAATATATTGTTATTATACTATACAGTAAACTTATTGTTCAATTTTAAACACAATGAATAGTTGTTATAAAAAAATATATTAACAAAATTGGATGTCTATGTAAATGACACCTAATTATGTGGTCAGCAGTTGATATCAATATTGATGATAGTTATACATTGTTATACATTGTAGTATTTATATCAAAATATATCATATCAATGTTATATTTTAACAATTTACTTAATATTGATATTTAATAGAAAATATTTTTAATCATTTACAATATAACCATTACATCAATGCTATTGATATAAAAGTTATTTTTAGAAACGTTAAATAAATACAAGGAAATTACAATAAATAAATCACGACAACAATTATCAAAGCAAATGTCACAATTTTCTTATGATAAATGAAATGTGGTGATTTAATTTATGATAAAATATATACTTTTGATTATACATTAGTTAATAAACCCTTTTTATAAGATCTATAACATTAAATTAATTGGTTGTTTGACTCTTCAGTGAAGGTCTTGTGTTGTCGGACATGATATGAATACCAGTGATAAGTGTTTTATACACTGTTTATAATAAGATACATGTGTTTTACTTGTGCTATACCTGTGCTGTAGATTTTCAATCAACTCTTTTATCACAATTGCCTTAAGACTAAAGTATTAATTTGAGTGTTAATTTAATTATCGTAATAATTATAATTAAAATTTTATTTATGAATAGATTATTTTTATTAGACTTTTTATAAATTTTAATTTTGTTACTATTACTAAAATAATATACGATATAATGTTATATAAGTTTATCATAATATAAAATTTCGTAAAGTGTTAAATTTAATTATTTTCTTTTCTTTATTATAATTATATAATTGTCAGTTTTTATCACGACTTTATAATTGCTATAATTTTGCCAATGGTTTTGCACAACACATACATATCCTTTATTTCCTTTTGAAAATAAAGTCTAATTTATTAAAAAATTAATTTTAATAAATTTTAATGTAAAATATTGCAATATAACTACTCTCTGATTATTTGCAATAATAATAATTTATTACAATTACATATAAAATAAATGTGTTTATAAATATTCTTGAAATTTATTAATATAACTAATTATTGTATAAAAAATGTAAATTTGTTTTAAACACAAATATAAAAAATTACAAAATTAATAAGTGTTTGAAAAGACATAAATTATAACAATTTTTTACTTTTACAGTAAGAAAAGTCAGACATTAAAGGATGAGATAATGAATTTTAAATCATTTAATATTCAGAGAACCGATAAGACATGTGATAAGTGGAAGAAAACGTTTTTCATATATACATAAACATGTATATATACACATGTATATATATTACCGTAAAAAGGGTTTTGAAAGCATAAACGCAGAGATAGGGAGTGAGAAGTTAGGGGTCAGTCGTGTTAACGACATTTGAGAAATAGATATCATTTCTCAAACTAATTATATCGAAACGATTCGTGAAATCTAATATATTGTGCTCAAGAAATACCACAATTCAGTGGGTTATTAGCTTTTGAATGTCAAGTATTTAAGGAATTTTTTTAGTTTTGTTTCAATCGATATTTATTGTAATAATAATAAAGACTTTTCTTAATCTATATTTTGTTTCTAAAAGATTTTTATCACTATTTTTTGCAATCGATTAAATGTTTTCACTTCAAAACTAAACGTCGGATTGAATTAATAGGAAATTATATGTAGTTTTTGGTTGTATTTTCGCATCAAAGGGTTTAACGACCATTAGTTCAAAACCCTACGAAAGAAAATAATTAATTTTTATGCTTTTATTAAAATTATTCACAAAAAAATATTTGTTACGCTTATTATGAATTTTTGTAAACAGTTTTATTGATTTCACGGTAGAAACAAAGTCATCGATCTTTGCATACAAAACAAAAGTCAATACATTGTCCGTAGTTTTGAATAACTGTTTTAATTTGTTTAATAAACTAAAGTCTTCGGTAAAGTAAAAGTTAGTCAAAGCATTATTTTTTAATTGTTTTTGTCTCACGTATTAATTCACGGCTTAATTGAAATCTTAATGCATTCACTCTTTTGTTTATAATTTAAGCAAAAGAAACATTTTTAATGTATGGGTTCTCTAATTGTTGAGTTGTTAATGAATTTATCACAATTTGTAATTAAATTTTAATTATCATTAAATCCATCGCCATATCTTAGTTGTATATAAAAAGATACTAATCTCTCTCTCT